GAGGCAGCCAATCAATGATTCTCTCTCATCATTGTTGTTTCTCTCTCTCTCTCCCTCTCCCTTCATCTCTGCAAAAAATCAATAAAATATATTAAAAATCAAAAAAAAAGAAAGAAACATCCATTATGAGAATCACTAATTGGCTGCCTCCTGCACGCCTCCCACTGGGGCTTGAGCCCATGACCTTCTGGTTCATAGGTTGACGCTCAACCACTGAGCCACACCAGCCGGGCGCACCTTTGGCTTTAATTACCTAGGCAAAACCAGAGACAGAGTCCTGAAAGTTAACCACAGCAGGAAAAACCTTTTTGACACGCGGAGACATTGAGTAGTATTTGTCACAGGATGTACAAGGTTCCCGAAAGCCATCCATGCGACATTTCGACCCCAAGATCTCCCCGGTCATTTCAGCCATGCAGAGCAAAGAGGCAAACACAGAACGTGAGACTGCAAAGGGGGGTATGTTTGGGCTGTTCCTCCCACTGAATAGTAAAAGCCTGCCATTTGAAAACGTGCAAACATGATAAACATCAGAAATGGATGGAGTGTGGCATTCAGCATGAAAAAAAAACCACACACACAAAAAACAACAAACCGCTCTCAACATCTGTCATAACAAAGGACAAGCAGCAATATTTCTGATAACACAAGATTAAAAACGGGTCTTTCGGAAGCCTGGCTTACTGACTGGGAACTGTCTTCAGACACAGAACCCATGAGATGGGTTGTGCGTGCACGGCATCAGACACAGACACACACACACACACACACACACACACACACGCACTCAACTCCACGGTGCACGCTGTTTCTAGGAGGGAAAGAAAATCATTGCTCTTTCCGGAGAGACATCCCTCTCCAGTAGTCCATTTGCTCTGGGGAAATGAACAGAAAACAGACTGTTTGGGTTTTGAGTCAGTAGAATTCCTAAGTGGATTTAAACGGCTCTCCCTGTCTGCTCACTGCACACCGCGCTCCCACGGTGACAGGTACTTGCCGGAGTGTGCTTCTGGCTTCAACATCTCATTAGGAGTTTCTCTCACCCACTGACAGGTGCCAGGCCTGCGGCCACCGGGCAGGACTGCGGGCTTCCTGTCCCTGGAACTACTGCAGCTCAACACGCCAGGAGGGTGCCCCTTCGTGTTGTTTGAGGCGGGGAAGTGAGGCAGGTGGAAGGAAAAATATGTGTGTGACCAAACAATGCAATAAGAAATTCTAACGTGTTCTGTTTTCATTGATTTCAGAGAGAGAGGGAGAGAGAGAGAGAAACATCAATGACGAGAGAGAATCATGGATCAGCTGCCTCCTGCACGCCCCCCCACTTGGGGATGGAGCCCCCAACCTGGGCCTGTGCCCTGACCAGGAATCAAACCATGACCTCCTGGTTCCTAGATCGCCGCTTAACCACGCTGGCTGGGCTCAAGTTCATTTCTCTTAATTCGGGTTTATTCATTTGTAGATGGGGGAGGTAGCTAATTTAATGGTTTATTTTGAATGCTGAGTGGGCTGAAACATATAAACACAGCCTGGAAATTGTAAACACTCTACAAATATTATTTTTTAAATCTAATTATACTGAACGAATTCTTACTGCAAATGATGTTGTTTTAAATTATTACTCTTGTGTCGTTTATTACTTATGTTATTTTCCCTTGAGGAAAAATATGGTGCGTGCCCCCCTGCCCACCTTTATTGTAAATTATCAATTAGCTTCTAAACTCACTGGATAATTGGGACTTAGTGCAAATTACACTGAAACAAGGGGTTTCATGAGGATAGACAAGAGGACTAGCTACTACCCTCAGAAAAACAATGACCTGTGGGTAGAGGAGAAACAATGTCCAATGCAGTCCACACCACACCAGCATGATGTAAAAATTTTAAGCAATGGGAAATTAAATATCTAGATTCGTTATCCTATATAATCTAAGCCTAATATGCTAAGTGTCCAGTCGTCCGGTCGGCCATTCAACCAATCAAAGCGTAATATGCTAATGATATGTTAAGGCCACTCAACTTCTCGCTATGATGTGCACTGACCACCAGGGATAGACGCTCCAACCGGTAGGTGAGCTTGCTGCTGGAGTCTGGCCAATCAGGACTGAGTGAGACGGGCCGGACACGCCCTGGTGCCCTCCTGCGGTCCCTCCCCAGCTGGCCCATCTCCCTCGTCCCTCCCGGCCCTGACTGTGCACCAGTGGGCTCCCTTGGCCTGGCCTGTGCCCTCTTGCAATCCCGGCTGAGTGAACTCCCCCACCCCACCCGG